GCCACGGCACTCTAGCCCGGGCAACAGAGTGAGAGACTCTGTCTCAAAAAAATAAATAAATAAATAAAATAAAACATAAGCTGCTAATGCTATTAAATTCTGGAAGAGGAAGAGACAGAGGGAATATAGTTCCTGACAATACGCTGAATGAGAAGTTGGCAGGAATCAAAAATTTCAATTAAATTTAATGACCTACCCTTTATCAGTTACAAGAAATGGAAGACAATTTGCTTTTAGTTTGTCACTATGAACCCACCAGAAGGGCACTTTCTAACCTTTTATGTATCATAGATATCTTTGAAAACCTAGCTAAAGTGCAGGCCCTTTGTCCAGAGCAACTTCAGGGCCTCACAGATTTCTCTGAAAGCCTAAAATTAAGAACCCTCCCATAAAAAAAAAAAAAAAAAGAGAGAGAGAGAGCTAAAAGTCAATGAAGTGGCAACTTCCAATTTCCTGTTCCTGTCTTAGTTTTAAATTTTCAGAGACCAAATGATTCAAAGCAACAAGTTTGTTCATTTGTGCCTTGAGTACACTTCTCAGCATAATTAAATGAAACATCAGTTCCGGGAGGATGCCGTTATTTAGCTCCCTAATCAGTAAGAATGAGTTATTCATTACCTGTAGAAGGAACACAGCTATATACCACTACACTAAAAAGGTACTGACTGATATTCAGGATTCAATCAAAAGTATTCTTTACAACCTCTCACTGATATAAGTAATTCAATGCCCAGGTGGGGATTTATCAGACTAGCTCACTACCGGGTAGCCAACCTAGGTGCTAAAGGATAAGGATTGAGAAGAGGCTCAGAAAGAGGCACCTTAAGTACTGCCCTGCAACAGCACAGGACGACTGCATACACTGGAGCCTAAAATCTCCCATCTCTTTTTTTCTTTTTTAGCGCAGTGACGCAATCACAGCTCACTAAGGCCTCAAACTCTTCACTCAAGCGATCCTCCTGCCTCAGCCTCCTGAGTAGCTGGAACTACAGGCGTGCACAACTATATGCCAGGCTAATTTTATTTTATTTTTTTGTAGAGATAGGTTCTCACTATGTAGCTCAAGCTGGCCTTGAACTCGTGGCCTCAAGTGATCCTTCTGCCTCGGCCTCCCAAAGAGCTGGGATCACAGGTGTGAGCCACTGCACCCAGCCTAGACAGAAATCTCTTACACTGTTAAACCCAGAGGTCTCATCAGCCTGGGGAGGGGTGGGGTGGAGATGCAGTTTACAAATGCCCAAGACTCAGAATATCCACGCAGAAGTACATTCTGTAGAGCCCAGCTCCAGCTTCAGCTCTGAGAATAGGGTAGCTTTGATTCCAGCTACCATAATGGCTAATGGCAATCTGGCCTTCACAGAGATAAAGAAAAATAAATGTCATGCAGTACCGGGGCCACCTGCACCACTTGAAGCTGTATGTGCTGAGGCTGCTGGAGACTGGACGCAGACTGCGACACGGGGATATACTGAATCCTCTGGTAGTCCCCTTGCGGCGTTCGGTAATCCGTCGTTAAGGTCTGGGACAGCTCTGTCATTGCTTGGGTAAGCAGGTCTGTCGTCACCACAGTCTCTCCAGTGGCACTGTCTGTGGTTAAGACGGCTGGGGCGGCACTGATCACAGCTGTTGTCAATGGCGTATGGATGGTGTTGGGGAGCTGGGCATACTCTGGATGCTTCTTTCGAATATGTTGGACCATCTTGGTCTGAAAATTAAGGCAAAAACAAAAAATAATAACTAGAGTTAGTTATTTTCCATTTTTCTCATACGTAAACCCTCCAAAGTTTCCTAAAGTTTTTTATCTTGAGCCTTTAAACAAAAATCAGAGCAACACTGATTCTATGACTGCACTTCCTGAAATGGCACAAAGCTACAAAAGGGGGAAAAAGAGGGCTGGAAGGGAAGCACCAACTCCCCTGACCCTACACCATCAGGAAAGGTCTGAAGACCTCACAGCATCCTCCGCCCTCACCAATACCTGCAGCAATCAAGCACAATCCCCCCAGCAAAAATGACCGTCTCTTCAAAACTGTCATTTAAGCTCCTATGTAGTGCTTCCGTAAGCCTGAGCTCATAAACCATGAGCGCAGAATATTCAAACACGAGGCCCTCAGCAGGCCAAGGGAAAAGGAACGCAGCCAACCACCCGGGCTACTCGGTGGCACTAATCCTGGGGGAGGCCCACAGTATTCTCTTCCCTTTCTTTGCTCTGGTCCCTGTTTACGAGGACTAGGATACCATCTCTTTCAGTCCCCCTTAATTCAGAAGGAGACACCCAGGCGTCTAGTTGAGAAGCCATCTTCCCTCAAGCGATTCCTTCCTGCATAGTGATTTTGACCTCAGATTTGGTCAGAAATCCGCCCCCCCTACCTTGCTGCTATACTGCTTGGAGCAGTGGGGGCAGCAGACGGGCGGGGTGGCAATGGTACCCGTCAGCTGGGTGTGGGTGCTCAGCATGGGGTCTGGCTCTCCGGGACCAGCGGGACGGAGTTTCCGAATGCTTGGTGGGAGCTCAGCTCCCGGATGGTTCTTCAGAATATGGGCTTTACGCTTGCTGGCACTTTTATAAACCTGCAAATTCAAATGTCTGCCATGAAAGCGGTATACAGTTTCACTTTCTTGCTTAAAGCAAACTATCTA